AAAAAAAAAAAGAAAAGAAAATCTAGATTTTACCCAGGAGTGTTTCTAGGCATTCACCTAGGGGTGCTTCATGAAACTAAGAACACTTACCCTGTTTGCCACATTTCTGGGCAACAGCTACTTATTTGTTTTAAGGACCATCAAAGTCCAACAGAGTGCAAAAAGCAAAATATCCATTTGTCAAAAACAAGGAAGTTATGGAACTTAGAAACTACAGGTGAATACAAGTTGAGGGGTGCTGTCTGAAAGAGGAATGAAATCTTGCAACTACCTCTATCAGTCAAAAATATCAGAGATATCACAGACTTCAGCTGTTTTGTAATTTCACCAACACATCTCTCTCACCTCTCTCCGCTACAGATCTCTCTGTACTTCAGAATAAACTACAAATCTTAATAATAATAATAATAATAAATACAACCAGGGAATCAGAGGAGATAAAATTTTAATTCTAATTCTATTAATTCAACAACATAAAGATGACCACTCAAAGGCCTGGCTCATTAGAGAAATGGTAGCCTTCTATAAGCATAATGATTACAAAGCCCTCCCCCCCCCAAAAAAAAAAGAAATTCCCATTGCCTTCTACTGAATTTCACTAGGCTCTTTCTAGATAGACATAACAACTAATCATATATGTAAATATGTTTCTTTTTCAAGTAGTTTTACTCATTTATTTGTGCATTAGTTTGCTTGCAACTTTTCAACTTTTTAGTCTGAAATCTGAAATCAAAATTTCCCTAAGGAAATTTTGCACCATGTGCAATGTGGAAGGGAAACAGTACTAAAAATCTGAAATTGTTTGAACAACAACAAAAATACAGAATTTCATCTGTCTCCCTCGCACCTTGCTTCAATTCCTCCCATCCCTTCCTCTCCACATACTGCAGTTTTGTCTGACTGATCTCTTCAGACATTGTTTTTGGCGATATTATTGCCCTCTAATAGACAAAGGCCCAATTTTAGCTTGTTATTTTTAACACACGGAGAGCATGGAAATTGGAGGGGGATGATCATTTTTCCTAATGCAAAGTCTAAAAAGAGACTATTGTTTGCAGTAGAGAGCAGACAACTTCGGAATGAGGGCACAAGATGGCAGCTAACTTGGCACACTCTTTACCCAAACAGATCAAGGGAGAAGCATCTGCTTGATACACGGTTACACACACGGATAAGGAAGAGGTTTCTGTCGAAAGAAAAGGAGTTCCTTCAGAAGAAAGAACTTTAAGTTGAGATCTGACACCTATCTAGAAGTTACATTATTAAATTAGCAAAAATTAGGGGCTCACTGAACACGTGCAAAATTCTGTGACTCTGTAACACACAAGGTTACGTTTGCTTCCACCATGATCTTCTTCAAACTTTGAAGTTAGAAAGCTATTTTAACAGAAAGTACTAACCTAAAAAACAAAAGAGGCGAGCCAAGAATATCATTATATGTAATGTTTCAGTTAGCCAGGGCTGATGCCAGACGAAAATGATGTGTTCTCTCCTGGAGATGTTGCATGTACTCATGATCTCCACAGATAAGAGAAACAGTACCTTTCTTTTTAATAATATATCCCATTGAAACAAAAGAGGAAGATCTTCCAGTATCAATTTTGACAAAAGAACACATACGACACAGCAGTTCAAAGACACCAATTTAATATTAATAAACAAACCAAACAACCCTATTATTTTTCATATGTTTTACACTCCTTACAGAGTAGAGAACTCGCCTCTTTCCCCCTCAAAATCTCAGTGTATTAGAAAAGAAAGAAATTACCTGTAACCAGAGCCTGTCACCTGCATTTGTTCTACCATTGGCAGTGCATTGAAAAGTAGCAAATTGCCCTGCATTAACTTCCACGCTCTGAACCCGCAAGAAATGGGGAGTTTTTGCTGTTGAAAGAAAAAAATAATAATTAAGTTACGTAACATGAAAGTTATTATTAATATATTAGAGCATCTGAAACAGCCCTGCTGTATAAAGTTCAAATGAAACTGAAATATTTCAGGTGCTTTTACTTTCATTTTTCACTTTTTTGTACCTGGGAAATAGCAGAGCAGACGGGTGCTATTTTATTGCTCCTGCTGTGCAAATTATCTTAACTCGGCATCCCTCTTGCAGTAATTAACTCTGAATTAATAAAGATTATATTGAAAATTAATTGATGTTTGAACAAAAACATATCAGATACTTACACTATCAGTTCGACAAAACAATAAGAAGTTAAATGATCTGATGGAACAGGTATTTCTTTTTAACTAGGTAGAAATTTCTGTAGAGGAGGTTCTTTAGAACTGTAGAACCAAACAGCTAAAATGCTGCTCTACGCCTCCCACCAACTACAGCTATTTTATTTAAATGCAAGACTTTCCAATGACATTGTACAAAACCAAAACACAAGGCACTCTTCATACCAATAGCTACCCTTCATTAAGAATAAGAAAATGCTCTCAGTAAGACTGAAAGCACTAGAGCTGCAAATACTCAAACCAGTGAAATTTCTATTTGAAGAACTACGTCTGCTGATGGAGAAGAGACGGGGTGCTTATTTTCATCTTACTGGAAAAAAAAGACAACAAAATGGGACAGAAAAAAACCCAAAAATTTGACACAGAGAATGATCCTAGAAAAAGAAATTGACACAGAGAATGATCCTAGAAAAAGCAGTATTCTCATCTACTCAAATCCTATTTGAGTGGAGGGGAATTTCTGCACCGTCTATGTTCCAGCTACGCAAATCCTATTTGAGTGGAGGGAGGGGAATTTCTGCACCGTCTATGTTAGCAGATAAGCCAGGCTCAATTTGAACGCTGCTTTTAGTCATGGAAACGCTAGTAACTAGCAAACACTGACAAAGTAAACACACCCTTTCTAGCAGAGCATCTAAACTGTTTAAAGTGTTGATGGCGTTTTCTTAGAGGAGTTTATCACTGGGGAAACTGCAATTTTGAGGAATATATTAAATAACCAGTCACCAGAACTAACTCATGAAAAATAGCTTGCTAATACCCAGAAAAAGGCAGTACAAAAAGGAGGAGCTGGCATAAGATAGATCAAATTAATACCTCACTAGAGGAGATGCTGTCGTGATTAATGTTCTTATAGAAAAACCTATTAGATATACTGTTTTTTTTTGTTTGTTTGTTTGTTTGTTTTTTCATCTGCTTTTAACCCCCACTCTGTTTTTCCTCAATCTTTCTCAGCTCTGGAAAAAAAATTAAACCTTTCTGAATTACCAGGCAAGGCCTAAGTAAAAAGGGGATCTGAATGTTTTAATGTCAAGATTTTAGTTAACTTCTCAAACAACTGTTTCATTAAAGTTATTAGATTTCAACATTGTCATTTTAGCAGCATACAAATATCAGTTATAACTCAATCTCCAAATTAGTAAGAGCTACTTGCAGGTTTTGAGTATTGATGAGTAGAAATGCAAAGACCCAACCTCTCAAAATCTGTGCAGACAAAATTATGATGCTTATAAAATGCTGCTTTAGTTTTTTCCATTTCAAATTGAAGATAGAAATTCAAAATGCTGCTTAAGCACGAATACTGTCTAACGACATGAGAGCCTTCTGTGTTTATTATAACTAAGTGAATCAGAAATAACAGAGCTGCTGATTCCGCATAACTGTCTTCATATTTGTCTTGAAGAAATTTCCGTGTCTTCTTGCCACTAACACTAAAATCATTTTTATGAGGTGCTTTAGCATTAGCCAGTAAACCACTTCTTATTTTAAATGACAGCCTGGTTTACAAAGCACAACGAATGCACACAGGTACAGCATCTCATAAGAAGCAGGTGAACAGATGCTGATGCCTTTTCCCCCACTTAGTCATTCGGTCAGTCAGATCACCACCCACTTCCCATGTATGCAATATGTGCAGCACAAGGGAGTAAGACGTGCAGAAGGACAGCAGCCATGAACTCAAAGCTCAGCAGGGGGGCCAAGTGCCCTAAGCAGTCTTGCTTAGCCAAGCCACAGCTCTCGGTCTCTGAGTTTCCTTCCTTACAAGCCTGGGAAAAAGGCATGAATATTCAGTTCCCACCTTGTCCATCTGCTCTTGCTAATGCCTCAGCTTGTGGCTGCACTGAATTTTTGGTGCTGACAGAAAACTGGTCAACAAATCATGATGATTTTGGTTCTGAAAGAGCTGTTAGGTGCCCTAGCCAGGGAATGATCTCTATGCAAATCTCTGTACACAAGATGCATACAAAAACTTGTCCTAAAAGCAATAAGGTGCAATGCTCAAACACTAGCAATGCTTTGTGTGTACTCAGCATATTTTTATAGCGGTGACACTGTTTTCTGACATGTATCCTGTGCTTCAGTGCCATATACGTTGTGGAGGCCTGGCTTAAAAAGAGCACATAGGTACTTACTGCATGGATGTCCTAAAACTTTCACTTCATCAATAGCCACATATCCTGGATGACCTGAAGTGACCACCTCAAAAACAACCTGAGAAGTAAAAAGAGAATTTCAGTTAGCAGCTTTGTAACAGAGGAAATATAAAACACGTTGTGCTATAAACAAAAAAGTCAACATTTTGAAAACTATTTGAAAATGAAAGACCATCAAAAATCTTCAAAATCTTTTGTTCCTAATAAATAGAGATGATAAAATAAATCACATTTTTTAATGTTTACACCATATTTGGAGACTAACCAGTGCAATCACATATACTTCGCTATGAAAAACAACCAGAACCCGCTCCCCATATGATGCCTGCCAAAATAGTTTCTCAATAATCACCTGATGTGTTAATATTTTGGGGGGATTATCTGTCCTACAGAGAAAAAGCCTACTTGTATTTAGTCAGTGACACTTACAGAGTACACAGAAATTTCTGCAGTATCAGAGACATGCATACCTGTTTTCATGAGTGCATTTTTCATGCTTTTAATCTTCCACCTACTGAAATGAATTAAGTAAGGCAGATCCATTGGCCACGGTTTGTTTAATGGCTATAAATAGGTCACAAAATAAATGGACCGTTCTTGTCATTTGAATTAAGCATACTCAGAAAGTAAACCTCTCCAAACTTTGGCAGCCTTAGCTTTGAACAGCCTGAGAATGTTTATGTGGAAAAGAAGGAAATATGCCAGCAACATCAGCAGGTACATTTTCAAAGCAATGCACAAGAAGTTCATACTAAAATCCAAATTTTTGGTTTTTATTCCTTCTCTTTTTCTTGGAAAATTAACCCCAATTGCCTCCAGTAACTAGCCTCAGGAAGCACACTGAAGAAGATTAAAATTTTAAAACAATTTTTCATACATAGGCTGTCCTTGACCTTGGGATAGATGCAAAAGGACACTGTGTACCACATCTTTTGCTGCAATTACTTTAGCAGAAAGAGAACGATACAGAACACAAACATGTCACAGGGATAACATACAGCCCCATAATATTAAATCACCGTTTTCTGCTGCTGAACAAATACTTGTAGAATCACTGTTTCTGAAATTAAAACAAACCTTGAGCTGAGTAAATACTTTAACACCTCTTCCTATCTTACATGTCTTGGTTTCAGCTGTCCCTCCTAAGTCTTGTTTTAAATTCAGTCTCTCAAATTATTATCTCATCCTCCATTACCCCTTATCACACAATTAAATCCCTAATGCCTTTCTAGATCCCTGTGATGCCCCCTTTTACTGAGAAAATCTTTACTACACTCTCCTGTGAATTCTCCCTACCTAAACAGAGCTTGTTTCCAATCCCTTGTATACTACAAACTGGTTTTGAACTCTCAGTGTCTTGATCTCTCCTCTGCTTTCTGCCACCTTTCTCACTGCTCCACCAGTGAATATTCTTCCACTTCTCCTCTCCCAGATAGAATATTCTTCGTCCTAAATCCTCTCTATTTCCTCTCCTCAGTCTCACGGGACTGCAGTCTCTGCAAACATGGCTTTCACTCTGCAACGCTGCCAAATAATCTAGTTTCCATTCTCTTTCATTCTCCTGTCCAAATGTGCAGCACTAACGTGGCCTCCCCAGTGAACCAGGCAACAACCGTGAAACACAGGATGGCAATGAGCAAAGTTCAAAAGGCACCAAGCAATTTTTGCAGAAACAAGTTCTCCAAGAAATGGATTGCTCTGCCACAGGCCGCAGCCTGCGGCTTTCTGCGCGCCTGGACCGAGTCGGCTGGCGCTCAGCATGGATATTGCTGACCCACAGCAGCAGAGCGGGGTGCATGTTTGGCTCTTAGCATTCAGCACAGCACCCACAGCAAGTCCACTCACCATTCCAGAGGATCCCTCTCCTACAAACAAGAGGGAGGCTTTTGGTGGAACCAGCCATAGGAGCTATTCTGGGGAAAGTGCACAGAGGAAAAGTAATACCTAGCTCTGAACAAGTAACTTCTGTTCAAAGCCCTGAGAGAGCCTTTCCAAGGAAAATCATCACTACCCTAACCTTAACAACCTTCAAATGGAAATACAGAGGCCAAAGTAAGCGGCACGAGTAAACCTGAGGTTAGTTCTGATGGTAGCGTGGGACACACGAGGCAACTCCCAATTGCACACTGGAATATGAAAAAAAAAAAAGAAAAAAAAAGAAAGATCTTGGAGCATTTCTGTCTTTAACAAATCTAACAGTATCTTTCTCTCTTCTTGGGTTTGCATGCTCTTGGTTCGCAGCTACGCTGAGTGAAAACACAGTGCCCTGGAGGGAGGAGACCGCTCCATTTCTTGGGGCCTGTTTGGTCGCCAGGAAGGCTGTAGGACAGCAGAACTGAGGCCCAGCCCTGGGAACCTGCAGCTCCCGCAAGGAATATTCCAGCTGAGATGTTACACTCTGGCAGCAAAGTGCAGGGAGCAGCCAGCCAGGTCTTAGAAACGACAGGAAATGTTTCCTGGCTGCCACTGAAAAGGTCCCTGAGTGAACAAAACCCAAGCACAAAGTCTGCAAAAAGGCAGAGGGCTGCAGGAAGAGCTGCCGCTCCTGCCTCCCCTAGTTGCTTTGAGTTTACTCCATCAAGAAGGAAGAAATACTACCACCAGATGTTAACAGGGTGTTTTAACTAAATAAAATGTTGCATAAACATAAAATGTTGCCTTTTCCCAATAATTCCTGACTTCCAACCAAATCAAATACCTGACCTCCAAAAAACAAAGTACAAAAAATACCTATTTAGAAGATCTTGATTTTTTCCCTATAACTAGGAAGCTTGGCACCCGCAGGAGAACCCGCAGCAAAGCCCCTTCTTATGGCAGTGCAGTCATGGGCAAACCAAGTTTGTGGATTCTAAACACAAAACTGTTTTTTTCAGCTAAGGGGCAGAAATGGCAACCTTCAAACAACCAAACTGGACATATTTAAACATCAACAAACACTGACCTAAAATATCCTGCCACATCTCTAGACACCATACCAAAATGTCATTACCACAAATAAGCCAGACAATGTATCAAGAGACGGCCAGATGGACATGCTATTAAATTACAATTATTGTCATTAAAGAGTGCGCTTTCCAAGGGAAAGTAGTACAAGTTGAAATACTATTGGTTTAATGATACTTCCATTAAAGGCTGCTATCAAACTGATACCAACTTTGATGGTCTAAACCTTGGGTCTTTCCTGCATTTTTCAGTAACCGGAAAAAGACACTACAGCCAGCAGTGACAAACTAGCCAAGAAGACATCATTGTTGTGTCTTATGCTTTATTTATTTAAGGACATGGCACATGCTACAAGCGCAGGAATACCAGGTCTGTTCTGAAATGAAATTTCAGGCTCTGAAATACTATTATCTCCCGCAACAGAATCACAGAATCATAGAATGCTTAAGGTTGGAAGGGACCTCTAGAGATCATCTAGTCCAACCCCCCTGCACACGCAGGGTCACCTAGAGCATGTGGCACAGGACTGCATCCAAATGGGTTTTGAAGATCTCCAGAGAAGGAGACTCCACAACCTCTCTGGGCAGCCTGTTCCAGTGCTCTGTCACCCCCACGGTTAAGAAATTTTTCCTTAAGCTCGTGTGGAACTTTTGATGCTTCAGTTTCCAGACGTTTCTTCTAGTTCTATCAGTGGCCACCAGTGAAGAGAGGCCAGCACCATCCTCCTCACTCCCTCCCTTGAGGTACTTATAGACACTGATCAGATCCCCTCTCAGCTTTCTCTTCTCCAGGCTGAACAGGCCCAGCTCTCTCAGTCTCTCCTCATAGGGCAGATGTTCCAGGCCCCTGATCATCCTTGT